TCTGTGTAAACTAATTTCATTGCCATGTTCCCTTTTCACTTTAGTCTGGCTTTATTATGTAGGTAGCCAAGACTAGTGGTGGTTTTGGTTTTTTTTCTCCTGTTCTACACCATAAGTAGACTCAATTCAGTACAAATAGATGAAAGCCAAGGTCACTCAAGAATTCATGACAATCACCCCCAAGCACTGTTTTTTATACAGTTGCCTCTCAGAAGCAGTATTGGTTCCAAATAAATTTCCTTTAAGAAGATGCCATAGAAGAATACAATTAGACTCCTTGTTCCATAAACACTCATCTTCCAATTCACCCTCTAAACTCTGTTTGATTCTGTCTCTTTCTATTTAGCTGCCTTTCTTCTTTTTTACTGCTTTTATGATAAAGAACTGATCTTTCTTTAGCAAAGTGATTGCTTTGCTGAGACCACTCAGACTTTGGCATGACTGTCCCAGTATCTTCTAGGTTTAGCAGTCCTCTGATGCTCCTTTGCAGCAAGGAAAATTAAAGTCTCCTACAAACAATTTTTTTCATCTCTGTTGTGTCCATTACACAAGGGTGTAATGCTCTCAGGTACCTAGAGCTGTTTGTGCTGTCCTCTGGATGGTTTAGTCTGTGCTGGTGCAGATGGGGTGCCTGCCACTAGCAGGCTTGACAAACAAGCTCTGTAGTTTTGGACCAATTTTTCCAGGTGCCAATCATTTCAGACATTTTGGTCATTACATTTTTGTTCATCCCAGTACAGTAAATATCCATGCAAACATAAAAGTTAAACCACATCATGGCCTCCACTGAGTTCAGAAGATGTGTGGATGTTTTAGGCACAAGGGACTAAGAACTTGATTTCTTCCTATCAAAAGGCTTTGTACTGATGGATATTTGTTTAACAGAGCTCTTCTGCTAGCAAGGAGAGTTTTAAGGCAACCACATTACACAGAAATGTTGACTAAATGCTCAACTGTGCCTCTCAAGCCACCCATAGATTTAACTAACCCCATCAAGGCCAGACATTATCATATATGCCAGAGTATATAACAGTTTGTAACAGTTGTTGCGTTCTCATGGTGCTGCCAGAATATACAATAACCCAGCACAGAAATGTGTCACCTGGGGCACTCCACATATTGTGAACGTATATGAGGAACTATTGTACAAGTGAATAGAATACATAAGGATGCAAGACATGCTATTTTGTTGTTCTTATGGATAGGCAAGATAGGATAACAGTATACTTCTTAACTTTTTGACATAATCGTAACAGTACAGCTTCTTTCACAAGTCCAGCTGCCACAGCCTGATTGCTGCAGAACAAGGTAACAGCAACCACTGCAGCACAGAAGTTACTTTAAAATACTTTTAAGTACATTATGTCTTTTAAGCACTGACTTTTGACAGCCTACTCAACATAGTATTTCTGAAAGTAAAGCTGAAATTTAGATTTAGCCATTTTTACATCTTACAAAGCCAGGTGGCCTGAATAAATAGAGTGAAGGAGGCTGCACAGAACATCTGCATTGCAGCTGGCACGAGGTCTGATGAGTTCTTTGTGTCCTGCCCCATGCAGAGTCACTACACTGCCTCTCAGCTCTGGCCTCATGGGCTGCACAGCTTGCTTAAAATGCGCCTGGTGGGCTTAAAAGCTGAAACTGGGGAGGGATGTCATGTGGAACTGCTGTGGTACAGCTGGGAGAAGGCTTAACATCACGCTGTCAGTGGGTGATCTTGACCACTTTGATTGAACAGGTCATGTATTAAACTAGCATTCCAGGCAAAGGTCTGTTGAAAAACCAAGGTTTAAATAAGATATTTCTCAGGTCTAAGAGATTTAAAATGTTTCGTTGTCATTTTTCAATATTTCACACATAATTTGAATTGTCTAGAGGGACTGAAAAGTGAATAAAAGCATTTTTGTTCTTTGTCTCATTGCTGGTTTGTTGGAGCCTGTTTCTTTTGTGGGTTGTTTTGTTATATTTTTAATTTATGGAGTTTTGTTTCATGACTAGAGGTAGATGTAGATGTACTCAGGATTTAATTTTGAAACAAGTTAAAATATAACCAAAATATAATCAAATCAGAATTGCTCTGAAATACAGTATGAAGTAGTTGAATAACTGCCTAATACATTTTTTTTATTTAATCACTATTTCTGTAAAACTATATTTTGATGAACTTGTAAAACTACAGCATATTAGAGACTCTTTGCTTTGGAAAATAATCTAAAACCAGGTAGTGCCAACACCAAAAATTAATAAAATGTATATAAGGCTGAAAATTTATTTGCTTGTTTGAAAAGAGTCTTTGGAGAGAGAATTACAGACAATTTTTGGGATTTATTTAAAATCACACTATCATTTACCAAATAGGAAATCGGTTTACAATTTTATAATCTGATGATGTAATGAGGAATAGTATGTTTTGGTGTCTCTTTCCTTCTCAAGTTTAAATATGACTGCTTAAGACTCAAACAATAGGGAAAACTTAGAATCTTTTATATTATAAGGCTTGTCAGCCTCCAGAGAGAGACGTTTTCAGTACATTCCTTTCAGCCTCTTAACAGACGTCTTTAAGTAAATAGCTATGGGTGAATGTTTGGAAAGCACTTTCAAAGTGGAAAGTACTTCAGCACTGGAAAATCTTGAACACTAATGCAGACACTAACCAGAACACCTTAAAGTTGGATTTTCATCTCTTTCCTGTCTTTGAGTTCTGCACTGCCTAATGCTGAAGGTTCCTAACGTAGTGTCTGGTATCAAACAGCATTCAGTGAGTGTCAGAGAATTCTAGGACTGTCAGAGGCAGCCACAAACACTTCCCTCATTAAACTCTTGACTTCTACTGATCAATCTTCAGTGAGCTTCTGATCCAAGTATCTTAGCTGTATGTCCCATTTTGTGATGTAAACATGCCACATGTGAAAAAATGTTGCTCATTTTTTCATTTTGGATTGGCTGCCTCCATACCACTACTATCAAAACATACCTTTCCAACATCACTTCTGAATTTACAGGTCCCTGTTGCATCCTCACGGAGCTGCCTCTTTCCCATCCAGAAGAGTCCCAGACAATCCATCTGCTTAGCTGTGTTGTCATTATACTTTGACCCTCCAATTTGAGCTTTTTCCTAGCTTTGCTGTCTTTTTGTAACACAGCAGACCAGAATTTTACACTACGTTGACGTAACTGCACCATCAATTTACACCAGGTAAAACTCTTTTCTATTTATCTCCTACTGCATTATTCTCAGCACTTGTGTGACCTGCTGCTGAACAGTGAACTGAAGTTTCCATAAAATTACTAATTTCAAAATCACTTTCCTACAGAGTAATAGGTACTTCAGAGGACTCAGCTGCAGGTAAAGTGAGATCTAAGTATTATTTTATATATTACTTTATACTTACATTATTTTAGCAAAATGTTGAAATACATTTTTCACTTTATCAGACAGTTTGTCATGAGATTGGTGTGATGCTTTCAGCACTTTCCATTTTTTGTTTTTTTTTGAGAAAACAACATACACACTAACATTATGTTACTATTTAGGCCTCTAACTGATATCTTATGTGGCTCTTGAGTAGCAAAGTCCTGCTCTTATTTGGCAGTGTGCATTAAGGATATTGCTAATTTATTCCTTTACTCTTTAGGATTCTATTTTGCAAATAGCAGTGTAGATGTCCCAATCAAGGGATGCCCATTCTTCAACCATCAACAGTGCATCACTGTTTTAAAAGAAGCTTTAATGGGAGACTTTGCACCTCTACTTCTTTACGCAGGGCAGTGTCCAGCAACTGTATTGACCATGAAGCATGAACTCTCTCAATACTTAACTACTCACACTGCTCAGTGCTTTTACAGTCTCATTACCTCCTGACCTGTGAGCTTCACTTACAGGCTTCCTATTTAGAAAACAAAAGTACATACAGGTTTTATTGTTTTACACCTTTGACTTAGGTATTGCATTCTTTCTCACATTTTTACATTTGTCCATTTCTGTTTTCTTGGCACAAAATACTAATTTACTAATAAGGACAAGTTTTTTTCCTCTTGTGAGTTCTGTAATTTCTCAATGAAAAAGTAATTTATATTCCCCAAAGAAACAGCAACCCAATATTCACACTAAAAAATGAAATTTTATTTTGCACTTGTAGTTTTGGTACCCCCTTAGGTTACCAGCAGAGTGAGAGATTTTGCTGTACGTGGTCTTAATTCTCAAGGAACTTACTTCATAGCCCTTGGGACAGACATTCAGTGCAAGCTAAGTCTAGATTACTGGTTGCTTATTTAATTTCAATTCACAGCATGGCACCAGTTTCCCACAGAACAAACACTTTGTTATCTCCACTGTCTCAACAGCCTCACTTAAAACCAGATACTCTAGTCTTCAAGTGGTTTTTTTGAGACTGAGATTTCCACAGAAATATATACACAGTGGGTTGAGTTCCTAGTTTCAAGGGAACCTTAGTTAGCTGCTCCCTGCTGTTGTTTATTTCCACCAACTTCTATCCTATTCTTTTGCCAAAGTTTCATTATTATCCATAATCACATTTCCTTTCTTACATGTCTACTTTTCTTGAATTCATGGACCTTATGATGCCTACTTTTTCCATTTTGGAAAAACATGCTGTGACAGAAGCCTGGTTTCATTCTCTGCACATACTCTTATTACTAATGGACCTATCTGTTTTTATTCCCTTGGCACTATTTGCATGGTCATGCAATGGAACACTGCTTCTCTCCCTCTGTTCTCTTCATGGGTCTGGAAAGCCAGCACATGACAGCCACAGTCTTTCAGCCTAACCAGGGGCTGAAGTAAAATCTTTAAAAGAGAAAGCTTATTTTTTAATAGTGGAAAGCAGGAGAAAGGGGAAAATAGGCATAAACCCCATCTTTCTGTTTGGTGCTGCAGCATTAAAGAGCCACAGGGAAAAAAAAAAAAAAAGAAAAGACAATTTGTGAAACCATTTCAGTGACAGATCTTTTTTTTGACAAATGTACAGAAAACATTCATCTGAGGAGTTGAGATTCTTTTATTTTACACCTAATACAATTCAAATTTAAAGGATTACTTGCACAAAAAAATAAACACATTTGGTATAAAAATTTATCATCACTTTAACACCTTTTTTTCTTCTTATGGCCCCCGCCTTCTCTGGAGCAGAAACATATAAAGACTAATGGCACAAGTTTGTTTTATTCTACAGCATTATTTTTGTTTTTACATACTCAAGTACCCTAAAGGACAACAGCCCGCTGTATACAAGAACCATTTTCTTCAGCCTGCTGAATTAAGTTTCATAAAGAACCAAAGCTATAAAGGCATTTTAAAAACTGTCTCTTTTTCCTTTCAGAAGCACTGACTTTTTGCACTATTAATATACATAGTGTTACGTAACAGCTCTTGAGTACAGTACATGCAGCAGAATATATCTGTTGTATATAAAACATACATTTAAAATCTTGACTTACCGGAATTTTTGGAAGATTGAGTAATTGTAGAATGCCCACTGCTTAGAGAAAATGGTTTGATAGTACAAATGTCTGCATATGTTGGCCACTGGAACAATCCAAGGCTCACTGGAATAGTATCTGTAGCACATCAAGGTGCGTAAATAATTTACCTACAATTTTAAAACATGACTTAGCAAAACCAATAGTTCAAGATCTTTTGACTGGGGGCTGGAACTAGAAGATCTTTACAGTCCTTTCCAACCATACCATTCTATGATTGCTATGTTACTCTTCAGTGGTTGCAAGGAAGTGTGGTGAGAGTTGCCCCTCTCCTCCCAAGTCCTTTATAAAACCTTTAGTATGCAATTTTTTTCCAGATGAAGAAACTTATTTATGTCTACTGCCTCTTCTCTTCATTGCAGCTGTACACTGTGGACAGTACCATTTCCCTTTCGGTGCTTCTGTCAGTCCAACACATCCATAGTGGAACCACTCAATAGGGCACTACAAAAAGAGTTAAAAGAGAGGCTTTGGGACTTGGGTTTTTTTCAAAATGCCTATCACAAATAGATTTCTATGAAAATGAAGCATGAGTGGAAAGCATAGATTATGCATTTAACACAAGTCACAGGACAAAACCAGGAGAGGGGAGGATCTGCAACATACACTCAAGTACACTAAGAAAAATGATAAAAATTCTGGGAGTCATATATGGACTCACAGAGCAAAATAACTCTGCTGTGCTTTGAAATAGTTTGACAAAATAATCTTATCACTCACTTTTGTTTAAATGTAGCTATCTCAGTAAATACATAATTATATTCAACTGTTCTTTGAAAACTTTTTTTATTTGAAAAAGACAACTCTTATTAGTACTGAAATAGCTGAAATTTCACAGAAATAAAGAATATTTTGAAGCAGGGAAAATAAAGGATATTTTGAACCTAGCAAAGGCTGAAGGTTTCTAAAACAACCTGAGCTGTGTGGAAAGATGAGAAATTTCCTGAAGGATGGTTCAAATCATATGCACTTTACACTAAAAAACTCTACTCAAAAACAAACTCTAAAAAAAAAAAAGAGCAACTCCTACACATAATAGTTATATGCAAAAGCCTCTCATGAACCCTTTGAACTTTGTTACTTACATCTTGGTTATCACAGCCTACCATTTCACCATAGGACACCTAGTAAAATAAGAAAAAAAACCCCTTAGCAATTAATATTTTGAAAGAGCCATCATTCAAATTTCTTCCTTTGAGGAGTTTTTTCCATTAATAGCAGTAACAACATTTTCATTTTACTTTTGTTACACAACCCAAACACCATCATGTTCATAGTGAATTTATTTTCAAAAACTGTTTATGCAAAAGAAGATACATCTGCATATTTCAGATTGGATGGAAAACTAAATTCACTGTGAACCCCCTCAATTTTAAATTTAATTATTCCTGAAGTTTCCATTACCAGATTTAAAACTCTCCATGGATATCTATCACATCACTAAAAAAATTAACTATTTTTAGCTTCAACAGTTCATTGTTCATATCACCAGTAAATAAATAAAAACAGATCAGAAGTTCAAGAGTTAAAATACAGTTTTTTCAAAATTAGCATTCAGAGAAGGAAGTTCAGCTACATCAAAACAGCTGCTGTAGCTGTATTTCAATTTGGAGGCCATCCTTACCTGATTACAAATACAGTAACGTGGCTCATTGGGATCATAGGTCCAATCAACCTGGCTATTAGAATCAGACTCTGGTATTACTGCTGTTTGCTGAGACAGTTCTTGTGCCAGTGCAGATGAAGAAGAACATGATGATAGAGAGGAAGAAGATGATGATGATGAGGATTGCTGACTTGAGGATTTGTTGTTGTTTCTGAGGAAGAGTAGAAAAAAAAGAAAAAATAGCATGCATGATTTATTTTCTGCCAAGTGAAAGAATCACTGAACAAGTACTTCACTGGCTCTGAAATACTGCAAAATGTAAATCCCAAATCCCACTATCACATTTCATTCAACCACTGCAAGCAGTGGAATGCGCCCACTGGATGCTCTTGGAAAAGGAAACAAGTCATACCAGCTTACAAGTGCAAGACACGCTGTTCTAATCAATGGAATTTAACAGCCCTAAACTGTCAAGTGGCTTAAACAAATGCTTTTCTTCACAAAGATTTCCATCAACAGCCTTGGTGTCAAGTCCTTATAAAAATTATGTTACCAATAAAACAGGAATTTACATACAAATAATGTCATATGTCATGTACAATAGATAACTGTTTTGAAGATGACTAATTCTCTGTTAATCTCCACTCAAGCATCAGCAATCACTCCATAGGAATGGTGCCAGAATAAAATTTCTCTGCTTTTGCTTATAGGTCAGACCTGACATCGAAGATATTCATAGATGAAAAATTATTCTAAAACAGCATTATTAACTGAGTTGTGAACAAACACTAATTTGAATTAAGAAAAAATAAGTCAATTTAAAAGGATGGGATGAGACAAATTCTTCCAAGTACAAGTTCTGGTTGTTGAATGTTGTAACATTGTATTGTTAAAAATGTTTTAAAACTTCATTTCAATCAGAAATAAAATTCATTCCCTGTTCTAGAGGGTCAGTCATTAGAAGGCGCCAGTTTCAAGTAAACCTGACATCAAACAGATATCTAGGTTATTTCAAAACCATCTACAAACCATATCACACTAATTCCCAACATCTGCTGTTAGATCAAATCTCTCCAAAACAAATGAGGGGAGAAACTTGATTGTATCTCAGATAAAAAAGCAAGTCAATGGAGTGAGTTTGCTTGAAGAAAAAATAGTGGGAGGACTAAAGAACACAACCCTGAACAAAAAATGGCCAGCAGGGAGTAACCTTCTGCTGGTTCACCGCCAGAGATATTAAATATAATGTATTTCTAATGCAGCCCATGACCTTTTAAAAGAAAGCTCAGCAGTCTTACAAGTTGTAATTGCAATCAACAAGTCAGAAAACCTACTTGCTTTTTCTACCACTTCGTGAATCTGTGGTTGATGAACTTAACGTCTGAGTTAATGTAGATGCCAGAGCTGATGATGAATATCCAGCTGAATCTCTGGACAATGAAAATTCTCTTCCAAGCTGAAAATCGTTGTTCTTAAATGCTTCATAGCTGGCTTTTAGACTGGATGTTCGTCTTCCCTCCTTCATCTGAAAGGAAGACTGACACTGTATCAGATTACACAACAAAGCTCCTACATAAAGTTGCTAACTGCCAATGATATGCACAGGTTCGCTCGTTACCTTGTTAATGAAATTATGTACAGAAAGTTGTTAAATGTGTATATCTAATGTGACTGTCTTCCAGGAAAAGTCAGAAAACAAGCTGTCCCTTTAGGCGAGTTGTACAGGATGAAACTGTCGCATATTAATAAAATTCTAATATAAAAACTGAATCACATCAGCTGAAAGTGATCATGGGAATTCAGATTTAAAAAAAAATAAAAAAAAGCAGTCACTAGCCTTTCTTCTTAATCTTAAGCAGATGGCAGAATGACAAGAATATTTTGACATTACCTGTGCCGTGGCTTGCACTGCTTGAGCTGCTGCCATGGTAATTGCACCGGCCCCGGATCCTGAAGATAATGAGCCCAGGTTATATGATGCCAATGGTTGAGAAGAGTTTGTATTGTATGCATTGTTTGAAGAGGATGATGAATTACTGTTTCGACACCCTTGATGAATAGAACACATTTATGAAATTCAAAATGAAACTAAATTCCTTTGCATTTTAAGAAGTTATATGAAAACCAGTGAAAGAGTAGGAACTCCATTTATGCATCAGAGTAGTCTAATCATATGGAAAAAGGGTTTTAAAAGTAATTAGACACAGACAGTATTTGTTTACAGGGGAAAAAACAAGAAGTTTGTTCCCTATCTATCCTCATGTGCAAAGAGACCTTTTAGAAAGACAGCTCTCACTATGATTCTAAGCTATCGAAGAACAGATGCAGCTGCTGTACCTATATTGAAACAATTCTCACTACTATAATCATCAAGAAGAGGGTGAGAATGATTATGCACCTATACTCTTTCTGAAGTAAAACTTTCAACAATCTTAATTCTAAAAACTACAGATCAGTTCTAATGCAACACAATTTCCAGGGTCATCTGCAGAATAACAGCTGCTCAAATATAGCTACATTTTCTTTGCAGCCTCATGTGAAGTTTCTTCAAAAGAAAATTGAAATAGAAATGACTGAAACTACTTAAAACTGAAAAACATTACTGAGGTAGTTGATTTACTATATCTCCTTAGTCTTTTATTTTCAGAAAAGAAACTATGAAACACCTTAGTATTGAGAATAGGCAGAAAGGTTTAGGTTTTTTTAGTTGCTATTCAAAAAGACTTCTCTTTTGACATAGACAACACATTAAATAATTTTATTTTCAGACCAACTCTTAAAAAAAAGGTGTGAAAATTCTTTTCCCTTTTCTTTGGAAATTGTTGTATGCAGTTTTTCCAAAAATAGTGTAATGATCTCTTATATTTCTACTACTAGCTGAACAAAATTGTACTGTTACCCTCCTCAAAGTGTAAATAAAAAGAAACAGCCATCATACAGCTGTTAAATGACAACAAAGCAGACACAATGGATAACACAGATGAGTAAGAATGCCTACAATTTCTCATGTTTCAAGTGATTGAAAATCCCAGGGAAAGGGGTATCAGCCTCTGACTGAGGACTGGCTGAATGGCAGATCCCAGGAGGTCATTATCAATGCTACAGGGTCTAGAAATTCCACAAAGGGAAGTGCAGCACACCTGGAGAGGAATAACCCCATGCAAGAGCACAGGCTGTGGGCTGACCTGCTGAAAAGCCATGCTGTGGAGAAGGACCTCAGGGTCCTGGTGGACAACAAACTGTCCCTGAGCCATCTGTGTCCCCTCAGGGCTAAGAAGGCCAATGGTGCTCCTGGGGTGCATATGGAAGAGCACTGCAGGTTGAGGAAGGTGATCCTGACTTTTTCCTTAGCCCTAGGAAAGCTGTGTCTGGAGTGCTGTGTCCTGTTCTGGGCCCCTCAGTACAACAGACATGGAGTTTCTGGAGTGGGTCCAGTGGAGTGAAAAAAAGGTGATTACTTAGGAGAAAAGGCTGATGGAGCTGGGCCTGTTCAGCCTCGAGAAGAGAAGACTGAGAGGGGACCCCATCACTGTCTGTCAGTATCTGAAGGGAGGGTGCCAAGGGGATGGGGCAAAGGGCAGAACCTGATGCACAGGAAGTTACAACTGAATATAAGGAAGAACTTCTTTACTGTGCAGGTGGCCACAAAGGAGAGGATGTGTAGGAACAGGTTGCCCAGAGAGGCTGTGGAGTCTCCCTCACTGGAGATACTCAAGACCTGTCTGGACACAATCCTGTGCTGTCTGCTGTGGGATGGCCCTGCTTGAGCAGGGAGGGTGGACCTGATGACCCACTTGGGTCCCTTCCAGCCTTACCTATTTCATGATTCTGTGAATTGAGAAGACTAACTCACAAATATAATTAAGTTTCTCTTCTGATTAAAAAGCAATGAAATGAAAGACAATTAGGATTACCTGGTGTATTTTCTTTAGAAGCGTCTGAAGTCAGGGTAGATAAAAGGGCTTCAGATTTAAACTTCTTTTCAGGAACATGATCTGTTGTACTATGGTGAGAAGATGGATTGTGTTTCCTTTCTAAATGAAATAAATGAAGGGAACTTAAATGTAAAATCTATTTGGCTTGAAAGTCAAATTATGTTACCACTTTCAACTAATTCCCACCAGCAAAACCTATTTCATTCTTGCCCTTCTTCTTAACAGACATTATTAACATTTCTTATGCTTTGTTTTCTCCCTGCAATGATGGAGGGAAGAAAAGTTCTGAACCATCTTTTTCCTGATACTACTCAACAAAAAAAACAAAGGAAACATAAAATATGGCCATCTTTATAAGTTTCAAGTACTTACTCTCTACTGGAGTGTGAGAATGGGAGTGATGGTTATTCACAGGCTGTGCTGGTGTATCCAGCTCCAGTGACCCTAAGAGGAAGGTAAGAGGACACAAAAATTGAGAGCTGGCACTGATTTAACTTTTACATACTAAAGGAATCTTTAAAATATTAACCAAATCACTATACAGTTATATTTATTTTAATCAAAAGAATTTTTGTTAGAATTGAAACCCTTTCTACAGTACAACCAGGAGCCAGTGAGATTAGTTCTCAAATAAAAATTGGTGACTGCTATGGTCCAACTGTTGAAATCAAGAACTTAAAATCAAGTGTCACAGTCAAATCTCAAGAAACAGCAGTTTCAACATGACTTAACTTTCAAAAGAAAGGGCTGCAGATCATCATCCAGATTTTCTTAACATTCAAAATACACAGAGCAACAATACAAATAAAAAGAAAACAAAACAAAAAAACAACCACAAAACCAACAAAACAACAACAAACCCCACCCCCCTCTTCCCCCCTAAAAAAGGAAAAAGTCAGGCGGGCATAAATCCAAGTCTATGTCTAAGAATAACATTTCTTGTAAGATGAGGCGAAATAATCACAGCATAGGAGAGACTTCAACTATAAATTTAGAACAATATACAATATTTTTTTCATCAATATCTAACAAAAAGATTTTGAAGTAGTTCCAATACCTACCAACTTATATTTACACAGAAGACAAAACAAAAAAGCAATTCACATTTATTTTTCAAAATCTGTAGCTTCAGCATTGCTTTACTTTCAAAAAGCACTGACATACATGAGTATATAAATAATACATAAGTATTACAACAGTTTAAATATAATTATTCTAGAAGAGAATCAATGCATAAGGAGCTATTTTGGCTGAGCGAACTTCCATCACGTTATGAACTTTTCCAAAGGCTGCCCTCTGGCGGGACTTCAACCATATGTATTTATTCTGAAAGCTAAAAATATCAAGAGTCTTCTACTTTTAGCTTTATTTAAAAACAAAGAAAGGAAACCCTCAATCCAAACAAATCTTAAAGGTGCAACATGCAGTCTAGTACTTCTCTATTTTGAATTCTTGAACTTCTATCTAGCAACCTCTCCAAACACATGGTTCAACAGATGGTAGCATCACATTCTAAGATCAGCTGTGATTTAAACTAAAATAATCTAGTCCTTTTCTGTAATTGCTAGTTAATTAATAGCATTTCATTTAGAGTTTTCTTTTTTCGTATCTGTTATTTGTAATAGCAATTACAAAAAAAATTAACTCCCATCTTATAGAACACAGCCACAATAAGTTCCAAGAAAGAATACTAATATTATTCCTAATATCCCCAAGTGACTTAAGTCAATTTTCACTACCTTTGGCTATAAGGACAGCCACTGCCTCCATAATCACAGTAGCTAAATCAACTTAGAAATTTATCACGATCGCATTTGAATTTGATGTCTAAATGCTGATAAGTACAGAAAATCCAGATTCTTCTACACCAAGCTGGCAAAAAAGCTGTAACTTTACATTTTTATTCACATTCTGAATACCAGCATGGTTGTATTTAACATGAAGGTTTCTTACCTAAAATGCTTTTCCTTCACTGCCCCATTACAGAACAACCCATTCTTACCCCTTTAGAACAGAAAACCACCAAGTACCTGAAAAACTAAAATAATGACCCTCCTTGGTTTGGTGGCAATCAGCTCAAGGAAAAAATGGTACCCTTGCAACTGGGTAGGCAGCATGCTTAGGCCAAAGTACTTGGCTGAATACCTACAATCATTAAAAACAGGTTTAAAGAATTATGTATCTCACTGTACCAATTCACAAGGACAACAGTTGTGTGAAAAAATTATTCTACTTAGTCAGCTGTATTTTGATTTCACTGGTATAAATTGAGCTTGAAACTAAAATTTTGTTAACTAACTGATGAAAAGTGGGTTAAAACACAGGTGAAAATACTGTCAGCCACTAACAAGTGTATGATACTTTAATTTTCTGAATTGAAAAAAAGTCTGTTAAGTTCTTAAAGAAAATCATGCATACTTACGTCTCTCTAGTATTTCTGTAATTCCAGCATTATCTGCTTCAAGTTCCATTTTAAATTTAGCGAGTTCCTGGTCCAATTTTCTTAAATGACGGTCTACCTGTTTGTTGGATGAAGCAAAAATAAATAGCATCCACTTCTGGGACATGAATATCTATGTCCTTAATCACAGGCTTGCTAAGTATTTCCCTTCCAGCAATTTTGTGCCATGCCACACTAAGCACAATAACGCAAGAAGCAATCTTTTTGGTCACCTCCACTTCCCTCACTCAGCACAGACACTACTGTTAACACCAAAATAGCATAGGCAAAGCTCCAAGACACTTCTTTTCAGAAATAAAAATGGAGAAGACTTGGAGGTGCTCTGGTTATGCAAATATGAAGGGAAGAGAAATAACAGTACATGACATGGACTTTAGTAGAAATTGGGCTGCTTTGGGGAAATTGCAAGCTCTGAATTGAAATCTGTGTGCAATTTGTGTGCCACTATAAACACCAGTAAATTCAGTGTGTTCGGAGTATTAACTGAAAGCAATGACTTCTGTGTGTTTCAGTAAACTATGAGGTGCTCTTGGGTATTAAAAACTAACCAAAAAAATTCTCAACTCACTATCATGAAAAGAAACATTACATTCCAAATGCTTTCTACATCTGTAATCATACAGCAAAATTTACCTGTTTTTATTAAAGCAAAAGAGAAGGGAAAGTTCCAACTTCTAGAATGAACCTTTGGCTAGTTGTAGTGAAACAAAAGCAGTTGTCTTATGTCTTCTATAATTGAATGTAGCCTGGCTTGCAGGTTCTGTTCACTTGAAGAATGTAAAATAAATAAACTTTTTACTTTAAATCATGTGCTACCCCTCTCTGGGTCTGGTCATCCATCCAATTTTTTACCCAGTGAATAGTGCACCTGCCCAAGGCAAGAGCTGCCACCTTCTCCAGGAGAGTGCTGTAGGAAACAGGCTTTACTAAAGTCTAGGTAGACAACATCCACAGGCTTTCCCTCATATACTAAGCAGGTCACTTCATCACTGAGTATCAGGTCAGTCAAGCAAGACCCGCCTTTCCTAAACCCACGCTGCCTGGGCCTAATCCCCGGGTTGTCCTGCTTGTGCTGTGTCATCACACTCAGGATGATCTGCTCCATGACCTTCCCCAGCAATGAAGTCAGGCTGACAGGTCCTTACTCCCCTAGATGCTCTTTCTGACCCTTCTTGTACATGGGCATTACATTTGCTAATTTTCAATCAATTGGGATCTTTGGTAAACACCCAAAAGTGGCTCACTGACCTCTTCCACCATCTCCCTCAGTGCTGTGAGGTGGATCCCATCACAGCCCTAGACTTGAGTGTGTCTAAGCGGCACAGCAGGTTGCTGACCTCCCTTGAATTATGGGACTTCATTCTGCTCCCCACCCAATTCTTCCTGCTCAGGGGGTTGGTATGCTGGAGACAACTGGTCTTGTTATTAAATATTGCAGTGATGAAGGCAGTAAGTATCTCTGCCTTTCCTGCATCCTCCATCACAATGTTTACCTCTGTATCCAGTAAAGGACGGAAATTTGCCATAGCCCTTCTTTTATTGCTGATACATTTTTAAAAATATTTTTGTCTTTCATAGCAGTAACCAGATAAAGTTCTACTTGGGCTTTGGCTGTTCTAACTATCTCCCCACATAACCTCATAAAATCCTTGTAACCCTCTCAAGTTGCTTGCCCCTTATTCCCAAGGTGATACACTTTTTCCCCCCCGCCCCCAAGTTGAAGTCAAAGCTCTGAATTTAGGCTGGTCATCTTCCCTGCTGGCTTCTCTTTTGGCCATATGGGGATGGGCTGCTCCTATATATTTAGGATTTCCTTTTTGAAGAATGTCCAGCCTTCCTGGACTCCTCAACACTGCATCCCAAAGGATTCTCTCAACCAGTCTCCTAAACAGGCCAAAACCATGCATTAAAACCTTATGAGTTCTAACACTATTTCTGTTTTATAGTCAAGTGATGCTTACTACCCAAAACCCCAAAATTTGTAAAAGTCAATAAAATATTAAATGTTTCTTTCACCACCAAAACATCTGCATGTAGATGACATAAAAGTACAGGAAGCATGGCTGCAGTGCTTATCAAAATGCTTAGAACTTTCTAGTGCATAATTTTAGGTAATTCACCACAAGTCTTGTGTCCACTTACCAGATCGTATATTTGATTAGCCAGTTGTACTTTTTCATCTGCATCTTCCAAAGCCTTATAATAATCCTGTTATAAAGAGAATTTTTTAAAAATATGAATGCAACTGAATTAATTTCAGTAAGTTTAAGCTACTGTTATGAAACACAAAATAAAAGTCAAAAGGAGAAATTGAAGTAAGTTTTCAGAAAGACTGAATTTTTACTGAAAACAACAATCATCTGAATTTTAAAAGAGAGATATAATATATACCAGTTTATTTTCTCTGTGTTAGAAATTTAGAATTTAGATTTCTGCAAGAAATGCTACAAGAAATTAAACAATCTTGCATTTATTTTATATTACACAGCATCATGTTATAGACTTAAAATAACATCGTGTCTTTTACTTCAGGACCACCACAAATCCTACTGCTCTTCAAAATGATGCAGAAGTACTCTGTGGGGAGGCCTTTCCAGCACTCTAGTTAAACAGAAATAATATTGTATATCATCTAAATTACTTTAAAATAAGTTTCTCTAACTCATAAGTGTGCATTCCAAATAATTTGACTAAAACAATCCAAAAGACTCCTTTAACCAATAAAAATTCAGACAAAACTTTTTTTCAAAAAAGGTATGTTTTCAAGTGCTCTTACTTTAGATTAGAACAAATGTTGCTGTCTTTTAGTTCTCAACTTCCACTGGATAGTATCTTACGTGAAAACTACTTGAAATTTTAATTCAACTAAAGTCAAAAGCAAATTTTTCATTTAGTGTACTGAAGTCAGAGCTCTGACTTTTTTCTTTTTTAGAATTTAAAAATCTATTTGCATTAATTAAAAAAGAAAACAACCCTTATTCAAATTAGGGGCTGAAGTAGCCACTGTAGGAGATTACAAAGGAGTTTCTCCTGACAAAATGATGACACTGCTAACAATACCCCTACCAATGCTCCAGTATTGAAGGATAACACAGAATACATTCATATTCATGTTCTTACTCCTCTCTCTCTCTCAAGCTACATAGACAATATGTATAATGTGTAGAAGGACACAAACAGAAAACCACAGGAAATGCTGAATCTAAGCTTGAAAAATATCCTCTAGAAGAAAGCAAATTAACTTGGGTAACTTCATATCATGCAAACAGAAACAAAAAATCTGAGCTCTAAATTTAGTACCAGGCTTCCTCACCATTTCAGGATTACATTTTTTTTAAATGCTAGCAAGTACTCAGTAAAACTTGAGAGAAATTCTTGATCAAAGAAACCTTTCACTCTTCTCCTCCAAGGCAGATCCATCCACCTCTATGAAAGCCCAAAGGAAGGCATAGTTCTGAACAGTGAAATCTCCCGTCAATCATAAACTATTCGTTCCTAAACTTGTTTTAGTTTGCAAGAGAAAAATCTAACCCACTCTTGTGATATCCTTACTTTTTTGATTGATGTCATTTGCTCTTCTCTCCATTCAGGTTTGTTTTTCTTTGCATTCATAAAAAACTCATTTACCCTCTGTTCAAGCTGATCCATTGCATCTGTAGCATAGGAAAAGATTGAGACAAATGTTATCTTCTCATGTACACAAACATTAGAAAATAAAGGGAAATTTTTTTCTCAAACAAAGTTGACAGGACTGAGGTGCAAACTATTAGAGAGGAAAAAAAAAAGAAAAAACCAAAACAATCAAGCAACAGTGGACAGCGGAGGGAAATATTTACCTTAATTTCCAAGAAGCAGAATTGCATTCTGGTAGGATTCTCATCAAGGTTCTTGTGCTCTCCAGCATGGGACAGGCAGGACTCCAAGTTCTAAAGGTTTTTTGTCCCTAAGAGCAGTGGTAGTGACTTAAAGCACGACCCAAACTCCTCACCCAGGGCTCTAGACTGCTGACTTTGGAACATTCTAGCCAGTTACAAACTGAGCAGGAAACAAAATGTTCTCCTAAGAGAAACAGTCAAATACAAAACCAAATAATTGAAATAAAATTAGTGTCTCAAAAAGGTAGACCAACTGAAGAGCAAAGTCACTGCCTTTAAGTCCAGAGCCTCTCCATTGTTTGCTAGGAAGGGTCAGGGCAAACTGAAAGCACTGACAAATTATTCCCTCCACCCCCAGAGGAGTAAATGCACTGATGAAGTATTATTTGGACAGGATTCTCACTTATGAAGTTGAGAAATATCATAAAGGGGAAAAATATAAAACCACCCATATTCTAACATTAACTGTCTCTAGAAAGGAAAATGTCAACCACAAGGTTTTTTTTTTTTCATTGTTTATTGAGACAGGAACAGGGATTCCCTTCCTTTTCCCCTCCAGCCTTCTCCCACTGAGTTTACTATTTCAACAGCTGGACACTTGCTCACTCAACAGTGTGCATATTTCCAAAAACATGCAGCTCCCTCAGTCAAACTAGCTTGGACAGCCTTGCTAGTGTCAGCATAGATGACAGTAATGAGTTTTTTTTCACAGCATTCTCAGTGACATTGCCTAGCTATCAGTTTTAAATTAAATCTGACAATGCACAAATCACCTACAACTTCAGGCTCTGGGTGCAAAACACCTAAGAAACTTTCCAGAAACCACCATTAAAACTGGATCACATCTTGCCAAAACAAAATTAAAATTCATTAATTAGCTCAAGAAGCTCGTGAATCCGTATGATTTTCTCTTAAAATCCAAGAGGCCAAGGGTCTTCTCAACTCTGTGAAAATTCACAGCTAGAACTCTTTATATAAATGACCAAAAATCATTCATACTAAATGATCAATAATATTCATCAACCTTCCTTATGCTGGGAATATTCAGCATCAAACCCAAGAGGAACCTAAAAACTGACTGGACAGAGCACCATTAATCCCAAGCCATAACAGTTGTGACATAAATTCACATCAACTTTAGACACAGGTGAACAAAGTAGTCAAACAGTTTTGGAGTAAAACAGGCTGAAGTGAGAGAACCTGAACAATGAGCATTTTCCACTTGCACCAAGTAGAGAAGATTAAGAAGAGAGTTAACCAAGAAGCACACACTTTATATGGAGGCTTCTAAAATCTCTATTCTTCAACCAAATGACCCTAGTTTGGTCCAAAAAGCCAAGAGACAAAATGTTCTATCTCCTATTATCTGAGCACAAACACCTTAAGTGTTAGTTATTCTAGTGGCTCCATAAAGAAGAAATGATAAAATGTATCTTCACTTTTTATTGAGGACATGTTATCAGTCTGTGTGAAACTGCCCAGGGAAAAATTTCCACAGAAACTTGGTCTCTCCTGAAAGAGCAGAAAAGACAAAGGCGATGGTGCAGGTCAGATCTATCCAATTATATGTGAAGTTCTCTCTGCTACACTCAAGTTCATCCATTTTTTCTCATTATACTATATTTTGAAGATAGTTTCCCGAGTTGCCAAAACTTCTATGATAACAGAGTCCTGTTTCCAGATCTTAACATTTTACCATGAAAACCTGATAATCCATGATTTTAACTTAAACAGAGAAATACATTTTATGCTTCATGTGGAGCTCAGCTAAAGCTCAAGAGCCAAGTTCCAACTTAGATGGTATTTGCTTTTCCACAGCAATCTTATCAGAATGTACAGCAGATTGACTCCTAATGAGGCAGGTTGCTGTTCGAAGTTGGAAGAAATAACAGACCAGGTCTATGTGGTCCAAACACAACAGAATACAAAGTCAACACTGACACTAAAGCAGGGCAGCAGGGATGTCTCTGAATTACAAATCATGTCGATTTCTGGGACAGCATCACTCATCAAAGTACTGTTTTCAAGTACTCCTGAGACACCAAACAACCTCCAGGTTTGCATGTATTGTTCATCAGGCAGTTGGACAAGTTATGCTGAAGAGGTGCTTGTCCAGAAGTTTAGTAAATGTCTTTGGATACCCTGCCAATCACTGCACAAGCTCACTCCCTCTCATGATGCTCCCTAAGGATAGTGACTTCAGAGGTACTATCTCCCAGAAGGAGCCATGACTGTTCCCACAACTTTAAGCACAGAATTACCAAGGTCTGAGAAATTTTTTCTCTACACCTAAGGCTGGTGCTAGTATGCAATACTCACTGTCATTTACTGCTTCCAATAATACAACATGGAGTATTATTTGTCATTCTCAGTTAAGGCAGAGGAAATAACAATCTGCTGTCTTGGTGTTGCTAGCTGCCTCAGTTTTCAGTCTTCTCTAAAAGAGCCCCTACCATCTTCTTTGCCTTCTTATGGAACAGAAGTAAAACTGGTGAACTTATTCCAAACTATTCAAGTCAGGAAGCTGCTCACTCCAGAGGTGCTATCTCCCAGAAAGAGCCATGACTGTTCCCACAACTTTAAGCACTGAACCCAAGACAACATTTAGATCATAATATACAAAAAAATCCTATAGACAGTTTTACATGTGTCAATAAGGCCTGTTAAACAGACCTGCGGGGTCCACTAAAGTAAATATCCAAAGGAAAGCATTTTAAAATACTACAGAACTGTTCCCATTTAGTGCTGCATTTTGCATTCCTATACGGTATTCCCATGTTATTTCAATCTCTGCTCTTTCTCTCATTCCCCTTTTACAACAGCCTGGCCCTTCCATATTGATGATTGTTCTCATCTTTTGTGCAGTAGCAGTTTCATTAGTGAATACTTTTGGATCACAGTTATAGATAACCATATTAATTGTGTGTTAAATGACCACAACAGCTACCCAGGGTGTGACAGGACACCGAAGTCCCAGATGAGATTGCATTGGAAAAGATGAAATAGCAATGCATCCTGAAAATAGCCTAATGAAGTGCATTACATTGGGATATAAGCAGCTAGATAAAAAGTAATCTAGAAAGAAACCTGAAATGTATTTATAAATATGTATTTTGTATAGTATATATATTTATACTAAAGCAGACATTTATGTAAAATGTAATTTGTGTAAACCCGAAAGTATATAAAGTATGTTTGGCTACGTGTCAGGTAGGACACAACAAGCCGAGCAAATAGCACCTTCCCATCATATACTGTTATTAGTGAGCTGGCTGGAAAGTTTCACGGAGAGCATGCCGCTGCCTACTGGAAGGAGTGGGACATAACTCATGCTCCAAACCACCATCACTGCTCTTAGGGATCAAAAATCTAAAGAGTTTGGGACGTGCCACCAAAAATGCCTTGGGGAGCAGCACAAGCCCTGGAAGGTAGCTCCGCCGAGGCCCTCCTTGCGCCGAGGCGCGGAGGGCAGGGGCTTGGGGCGGGTCAGGGGCTGCCGCGACAGCGCCAGGGGCGTGCGTCCCGCCCCTCGCCTCGTCGCGGCGGCTCGGCAGAGCCTT